TTTTTGAGCAGTGTAGTTATGTTTATAATAGAGAACAATTTGTTTATGCAAACGGCTATGCATCTACCAGGGCCAAGATATCCTGTGCTGTGCCACAGGGTTCGATAATTGGACCTTTGTTATTCCTAATCGATATCAGTGACCTTGCTGCTGTGTCTTCTACTGTACTTCTCATTATCTTTGCTGATGATACCAATTTGATTTTATCACACAATAATTTTGATTCACTAATTAATGAAGCCAACTCAGGTATGGCCACATTTTCTGAATGGTTCCAGATAAACAAATTATCTTTAAATGTTAAACAATTCAACTTTATTGTATTCAATAGTAAGAATAAGAAATATTGTAAAAAAAAATACATTTAAAAAAAGAGCCAGAATCTTAATTGATGGGAATTAACAAGTCACCTCCACTAGATTCCTTGGAGTTCTAATTGATGAAAAGTTATCCTGGAAATATCATTTACAATTTGTCTGTAGCTAAGTGATGAAATCTGTTGGTATCATCAGAAAGATGAGTTGTTTGGTTCTTCAGGCTTGCTTCCTAACTCTTTACCATAGCTTAATTTAGCTATATCTCATTGACTAATATTGTCTGGGCCAGTACATATGCCTCCTACTTACACAAATTACTCATCATACAAAATACATTTGCAAGACTAGCCACCTCCTCAAATGACCTGGCTCCATCTGCACCTTTGTTTAAGACACTCAATATCTTGTCTGTTTACGATGTGAATGTACGGCAATTATGCACTTTCTTCTACAAATACTCATACCTCCCAGACAGTTTACCTAAAACCTTCAATGGATTCTTCCAAGTTAATTCTGAAATCCATCTATATAACACAAGACACTGCAATAACCTTCACCCTCCCCACTGCAGCACCTCACATAGTCAATTCTCTATCAGATACAGAGGTACCATACTCTGGAATTCTTATCTTCACATTTGCCAAAACCTCATCATGCCTCAATAACTACAAGCTAAGACTGGGGGTCAGCCTGATGAACCAAACTACCCAATAACTGTTTTTTTATCTGTACTATTTTGTCTTTCCCTTTTCTTTGGTGCGAATAAATAAATCCTAAAAACCTATATCTGCCTCATTTGAACGAACATTCCCAAAAAGTTTATACAACCTTCTCTGTCTGTTGTAACGCATATTGAAGTTGCACAAGTAGCATGCAGTCCCTACACACTGCATTGGAGCAAAAACAATCAGCGTTTTGTATGATGATGAAGTCTAACTGAGTGTACAAAACATTAGGAACACCTGTTCTTTCCATGTCATAGACTGACCAAGTGAATCCAGGTGAAAGCTATGATCCCTTATTTATGTCACTTGTTAAATCCAATTCAATCAGAGTAGATGAAGGGGAGGAGACATGTTAAAGAAGGATTTTCAAGCCTTGAGACATGGTTTGCGTATGTGTGCCATTCAGAAGGTGAATGGGCAAGACAAAAGATTTAAGTGCCTTTGAACAGGGTATGGTAGTAGGTGCCAAGCGCACCGGTTTGAATGGTCAAGAACTGTAATGCTGCTGGGTTTTCCACGCTCAATAGTTTCCTGTGTGTATCAAGAATGGTCCACCACCCAAAGGACATCCAGCCAACTGTGGGAAGCATTGGCGTCAACATGGACCAGCATCCCGTGGAACACTTTCCACACCTTGTAGTCATCCCCTGACGAATTGAGGATGTTCTGAGGGAAAAAAGGGGTGAAATTCAATGTTTTGTACACTTTGTGTACAGTTGCTGCCAAATCATAGCCACTAGCCAGAGTCCCTGAAAAAAGAATGTAACTCTCCACTTCAGTTTTGCTTTGGGGCAAAAAACGATCTGCGTTTTAACCACTCAATGATCATGCAAGTACTGCATGAGTAGGCTACCTAGTTTTTCCACCTTTGGGCAGCCGAACATTCTAGGCAGAGCATGTGTATCCGGACCGGTAACCAGAGTCTGATAATGGTCAAATTAGTTTCGCTGCGCCCGGTGTGCTATTATTTCCTTACATCGTTTGTCAACCACTGCTTTAGACTCCCTACTATTTGTGATGATAATCTTCACAGTTATGCTGCCATATCAAAGCGAGAGTTGCTGAAAAAAGAACTAGCCAATATTTGCAATGATAATAATCGCTATTTTGACTGCCTGTATGTTTGTAGGCCCTACGAATGACATGTTGATGAAGTTTCTCCCTCCATTCCAATGAGGGGGAAGCGGCAGTTTGAGTAGTGAGCACTAAGCAGAAGCTACATTGGCAGCAGAGTGGGCAGCAGCTACCTTTTAAAACACTTACACACACATGTGCAGAAATCTCCATATCAATAGCCACGGCAAGTCGGATTCCAGAAAATCCGGAACCGCAGCCACTCCCTAAAAATGATGGGGTGTATTCATTATGCTGATTCTGTTGCAAAACCGTTTACTCCAAGCGTAAAATGTTTTGCAACTAAAACGAGAGTTTCTATTAGACAAATTCTGGTATGTCCCTCCCTATTTCATTCTGTTTGCTCTGTTTGCTTCCATTTGACAGTACGTCCAACCGGCCCCACAACCGCAGACCACGTGTATGGCGTTGTGTGGGTGAGCGGTTTGCTTATGTCAACATTGTGAACAGAGTGCCCCATGGTGGCAGTGGGGTTATGGTATGGGCAGGCATAAGCTACTGACAGCGAACACAATCACATTTTATCGATGGCAATTTGAATGTACAGAGATATCGTGAAGAGATCCCGAGGCCCATTGTTGTGCCATTCATCCGCCGCCATCACCTCATGTTTCTGCATGATAATGCATGGCCCCATGTCGCAAGGATCTGTACACAATTCCTGGAAGCTTAAAATGTCCCAGATGTTCCATGGCCTGCATACTCACCAGACATGTCACCTATTGAGTATGTTTGGGATGCTCTGGATCGACGTGTACGACAGCGTGTTCCAGTTCCCGCCAATATCCAACAACTTCGCACAGCCATTGAATAGGAGTGGGACAACATTCCACAGGCCGCAATCAACAGCCTAAACAAATCTATGCGAAGGAGATGTGTCGCGCTGCATGAGGCAAATGGTGGTCACACCAGATACTGACTGGTTTTCTGATCCACGCCCCTACGTTTTTTTAAGGTATCTGTGACCAATAGCTGCATATCTGTATTCCCAGTCATGTGAAATCCATAGATTAGGGCCTAATTAATTTATTTCAACTGAATGATTTCCTTATATGAACTGTAACTCAGTAAAATCTTTGAAATTGTTGCATGTTACATTTATATTTTTGTTCAGTATAACAAAAGAAAGGGGGAAACAACATAATTACTAAAATACTTGTAGCAGGATTTCATTTGAAACCTCTTCAATTTGTCCCTCAGTTATTTATGCATGGATGAAAGTAAATAGTGCATTACTAAAGGCACAATCTTGGAAAGGTCCTGCTGTTCAATTATTTAACTATATAGCTCCAACTGTTTATAACTATCATGTCAATGTTATCTCATTTGTCAGTATTCTCAAGTAATTTTTTAATAATTTGAATTTTTGCACTGACATTTTAGTTAGGGCATGCACACAGAAAAAGTATATTTAATTTTGCGCTTCACTTGGACATTAGCATACCTAAATACCTTTCTCAGACAAGTGTAGGTCAGGCATCAAACTAAATTGAAATAGCTGCAGAGAGCGCTTCATTCAGGCATTACAATATTTTCTCTAGAGTCTAACCATATGGAACACACCCAAAATAAAGTATGACTGCAAGGCCACCGATCCAGACGGGCTGCAAGGCGGCCATAAATGACAAGCACTTCAGTGATTGGACACAGACTGCACACCTTTACCTTTGACCTTAGATGGGCTGCCAACATGGCCCTCTGTGCAGATGAGATGGAGAGCACAGAGTGAGAATAAGTGGGTTACAGTTGCGAAAAAGAAAGGAAACAAGTAAAGGTGTGGTGAAATCCAAGCCTAGTCTAGATTCGTTTTTAGATTGTGTATCTGCGGAGCAGAAGGTAGCATGCTTTGCATCTCAAAAAGAGATTGGAGTGGAATGTTTTATGTATGGATTTTCAAAGCAGGGCGCCTATCAAGAGGGTTATCTCTGGGGTGGGGCATGAAGTAAATGCAGATGATATAACTGAAGACCTAGATGGAGTGGTTGGTGCACATCGACTGACACATATGGTGGATGGAGTAAAGAAATTTGCTTCATCAAACTATTGTTCTTTGATGAAGAGTCTCTCCCTTCTCATGTAAAGTTAGGATTCATGAGATACCCTGTTAGAGCTTTTGTGCACAAGCCCCTTCAGTGTCATAACTGCAAAATATATGGTAATGTGTCAAGTGTATGCAGACGGGAAGAGTATCATATGCCAGCTGAGTTGAAATGCTGCAATTGTGGTGACGAACATATGCCCAAATTCCTGAAGTGCCCTGTTAGGGTAAAGGAGACAGAGGTGGCAAGAGTAAAGGCTGTCCAGAGGGTCTCCTATCTGGACGCGATGAGAAGAGTGGAAGGAGCGAGTGGTGGTGAAGAAACAATGGTAGTAGAGCCACCACCACCAGTGAAGGTTTCACACCAACTGAGGGATCATGATATATTAAATGTTAAAAAGGTGGGCTTTGTGTCATTTATTGCAATGGTCATAAACTGTAAAGCACAGAAGAAGTCAGAGAAATTGGATTGGACTGTGACTGAAGGAGGGGGATGGGTTTTGCTTGTTGATGTGTCTGTCTATTTTTGTATTTTGTATGATATCGTTTTTCCTCCTTTTCCCGCAATGTATTTTGTATTTTCTCGTTCAATAGCCCGTCCAGTTGGTGGCGGTAATGCCCCATTAACATTTGATGCCAACCGCTGTTAAACCTCACCGAAGAAGAAGAGCTGCCAACATGGCGGCGCACATGAGACGCTTGACACATAGGTACAGAGCAGTGATAAACAAGAATTTAACATCACGTATAAGCCTCAGAGGATGTTTATCAAGGTCATATTCTCAGGTTCAAACAGACTTTTCGTCTAATCAGGTGCGGCGTACGTTCACAGATTTTTTTCATGAACTCTACCAACACATCATTGTGCCATCCTCCCCGGTTCGTCCGCGGGGAGACCCAAGTCTCCTGTTTGTCAACGCAGGCATGAACCAGGTAAATTGAACAGGCATCGGTTGGTGTTCACATTAAGTATTAGCTATAGTATTAAATACAGTAGACACTCATTTGATTATTGGCAAGGGGCTGTAGCGAAGAAAGCTAGCCTCATGCATGACACTGGAGATTTGACACCTCTGACAGTTCTGTTGCTCACTGGGTGTACAGTTCCGCGTGAACAACAGAAGTGAGCGAGTATAGGCAATAAATAGGCCTACTAGCTAGCTATCTAAAGGCAATTCCAGTCAAATGCAGATTTTGTATCTTGTTGACTGTCCGTTGATTTTTTTTGCATACTACTAGTTATGCAAGTGAACAGTTGTGTATACATACCATACCTTAGGCCATACATCAAATGCCTTCATAGCTTTTTTTGGGGTGCTGCAACTTCATTGGCTCTGAGTTGGAATGATGCCTCTCTTCTCCTCTTCACTTAGTTCAAGCCCATTTTCCTGGGAGCAGCAGACCCGCGCAGTGAAATGGCCACATACCGGCGGGTGGTGAATAGTCAGAAGTGTGTCCGGGCTGGGGGTAAACACAACGACCTGGAAGATGTTGGTCGAGATGTCTACCACCACACCTTCTTTGAGATGTTAGGAAACTGGTCCTTTGGTGATTACTTCAAGGTGTGTGACATACATAAAATGTGTGACATACAGGTAGCTATGATCTATGATGCCATAGCAGTTTAAAAGGCAGGTGTAAAAATGCACATAAGCCTACTATGGAGAGTTAATTTAAAGGTCTACTTCATGGCAATTTGCTACAATGAACAAACATAGTAAAAAGATAGTCTAGATGAGCAATTCATGTGTCATGAAATAACTAGTGAGGGGGTAATAAGTTAAGGGACCACTATGGCATTTATGCCCCTTCAGATTAGGGTAATAAGCACTCTTATGTCCCTGTGCAGGAGGAAGCGTGCACCATGGCCTGGCGTCTACTCACAGAGGAGTACAGGATTCCTCCAGAACGCCTCTACGTCTCATACTTTGCCGGTGATGCCACCTCTGGTTTGCCAGCAGATGAGGAAACGCGCCACATCTGGCTAAGCATGGGGTATGAAAGCCATAGTTTCCTCTCCAAGATAATAACAACTTCCTCACTCATTTGTGTTTTGATCCTTCGCCATTCTCTTTTTTGGTTTATGTTTTTGTTTGTAGAGTGCCCTCTGATCACCTCCTGCCATTTGGGATGAGGGACAACTTTTGGGAGATGGGGGAGATTGGCCCCTGTGGCCCCTGCACAGAGATCCACTATGACCACATTGGGGGCCGTAATGCAGCCTCGCTGGTCAATGCGGACAGTCCTGATGTTGTCGAGATTTGGAACCTGGTCTTCATGCAATACAACAGGTGCTATACCTACTACCAGGGGCTGATAGTTTGGTTTTTAATTGACCATACTAAATACTATTTAGAACATGCTGTTTAGTATAAAAACGTTGCAGTAAGCAGCAAATATCAACATTCTAGGCTCATTCATAGGAATGCATCATCTAATGCACAACTGTGTTATTTCCCACCATTCGTACATTTTGGTACAACCCATCCTCTTAACATGTGGGTCTGAAAAGGCAATTCTCTTCCTAAATAGTGTGCAGTGAATTCATACTAGATGAAAAGCCGTTCTATTTTGCATTCTATTTTGCATACCCAATCAGAGTACTATTTAGAATGCAAGTATGGGTATTCGGACAAGCCCACTTGCTAACTCATTTCGTCTTTATTTCAGCCAAGGTCATGTCTCAAAGATAAAAGATAAACAAACACAAGCACTTTTGGCACACACAGCTAGCTAGCTAGGAGCAATTTCTGCTAATGCTTATGCACTCTAACCTTGACAGAGGATGTTAGCAAGACGACAACATCTTTACATTATTGTGTGATGAAAATAAATTCCATCTGGAGTACACTCTACTATGGACTGTTAGACTTGAGTTTTCCATGACTGAATCACATTACTAGGGTGGATTGTGTGTCTGTGTTTACAGCCTATGTCTGACGCTGTGCTTGCGTTTGGCTGTTTCAGAGAGGCAGATCACAGCTTGCGGTCACTCCCCCAGTTCAGCGTGGACACTGGCATGGGTCTGGAGCGACTGGTGACCATTCTCCAAGGACAACGCTCCAACTACGACACTGACCTCTTTACCCCTCTGCTGTCTGCTATACAACAGGTACGTTTAGTTTGTTTGCAGATAATTAAGTACAATAAAATAGAGGATAGAAGAAACAAATTGAAGAAATGTAAAGAAAATACATGTGCAGGTCAGGAAGAGAAGCAGACATTTTATTTAACCTTTATTTTATCAGGGAGTCATACTGAGACCAAGGTCTCTTTTACAGATGAGCCCTGAATTACATTAATTACAGAAAATACACATATCAAAATGCAAGCAGAAAGAAAAACACGGTCATAAAAAACAAACAGATTCATGAGTAATACGGTCCTTAATCAGCTTTGTGAATTGCCCTAGAGGCACCAGAACATAAAATGTAAGAACATTTTGAAGATTGTTCCAAAAATATTTACCTAACTCAGTAGAGAACAAAGGAATTTCCAGAGTTAGCCATCCCTGAGACCGGTGTGGTAACTTGTATGTCTAAAGTTTAGTAATGATGTTAGGTACAATGGGACTTTTTGTCAAGTGGCTTTATAAATGAAAACATAGCAATGTATCAACCAACGTGATATCGGAGGGCCAACCAACTTTCTGGTAGAGAATGCAGTGATGAGTACTACAATTGTTGCGCGTAGTAAAAAGCACAGTGCGCTATGATAAACAGCATTTAACGGCTTTAATGAAGTGGCAGCTGCGTTCATATAGATGATGTGGTCCTCTGTAGCTCAATTGGTAGAGCACGGCGCTTGTAACGCCAGGGTAGTGGGTTCGATCCCCGAGACCACCCATACGTAAAAATGTATGCACACATGACTGTAAGTCGCTTTGGATAAAAGCGTCTGCTAAATGGCATATTATTATATAGTCTAGGACCGACGTCGACTGAATAATCTGCTTTCTACTATTTAGCAAGAGGCAGGACCTATTACGATAGAATAAGCCAATTTTTCTCAGCTTCTTAAGTAACTCATCAATATGCTTTTTAAAAGACAGCTTGTCATCTATACAAATGTCCAGATATTTGTAAGCACAGACACGATCAATATGAACACCATCCAAAGTACATATGCTTAAATCATCAGACTTATTTGTATGCACTCTAGAGAACAACATATACTTAGTTTTACTGACATTCAGTACTAATTTCAGGTTAATAAAGTTTTTCTGTAATACAATGAAGGCAAACTGTAGTTAAGATCAACCGTGGGGGCAATACCTTTCGGAATAACCAGGGAACCTGATTTAACGCCATCAGTAGATAGATATACATTGAGTTCTATCTGTCAAGTAATTATTATATATATTTAATTTTTTTAGGGGGTAGATCAGCTTTAATATTGCAGATAGATTGTAGCTTCCATCAATGTAATATCAATGTAATTGTCTGCATCATTTCCAGTCCCCCATATATATTTTTTAATATATATACACTGTATATATACACTACCGGTCAAAAGTTTTAGAACACCTACTCATTCAAGGGTTTTCCTTTATTTTTACTATTTTCTACATTGCAGAATAATAGTGAAGACATCAAAACTATGAAATAACACATATGGAATCATGTAGTAACCAAAAAAGTGTTAAACAAATCAACATATATTTTATATTTCAGTTTCTTCAAATAGCCACCATTTGCCTTGATGACAGCTTTGCACACTCTTGGAATTCTCTCAACCAGCTTCATGAGGTAATCACCTGGAATGCCTTTCAATTAACAGGTGTGCCTTGTTAAAAGTTAATTTGTGGAATTTCTTTCCTTCTTAATGCGTTTGAGCCAATCAGTTGTGTTGTGACAAGGTAGGGGGGTTATACAGAAGATAGCCCTATTTGGTAAAAGACCAAGTCCATATTATGGCAAGAACAGCTGAAATAAGCAAAGAGAAATGACAGTCCATCATTACTTTAAGACATGAAGAACAGTCAATACGGAACATTTAAAGTACTTTGAAAGTGCAGTCGCAAAAACCATCATGGAAGACCCAGAGTTACCTCTGCTGCAGAGGATAATTTCATTATAGTTACCAGCCTCAGAAATTGCAGGCCAAATAAATGCTTCACAGAGTTCAAGTAACAGACACATCTCAACATCAACTGTTCAGAGGAGACTGTGTGAATCAGGCCTTCATGGTCGAATTGCTGCAAAGAAACCCCTACTAAAGGACACCAATAAGAAGAAGAGATTTGCTTAGGCCAAGAAACACGAGCAATGGACATTAGACCGGTGGAAATGTGTCCTTTCGTCTGGAGTCCAAATTGGAGATTTTTGGTTCCAACCGCCGTGTCTTTGTGAGACGCGGTGTGGGTGAACGGATGATCTCCGCATGTGTATTTCCCACCGTAAAGCATGGAGGAGGAGGTGTTATGATGTGGGGGTACTTTGCTGGTGACACTGTCTGTGATTTATTTAGAATTCAGTATGGCTACCACAGCATTCTGCAGCGATACTCCATCCCAACTGGTTTGGGCTTAGTGGGACTATCATTTGTTTTTCAACAGGACAATGACCCAATTCACCTCCAGGCTGTGTAAGGGCTATTTGACCAAGAAGGAGAGTGATGGAGTGCTGCATCAGATGACCTGGCCTCCACAATCTCCCGACCTCAACCCAATTGAGATGGTTTGGGATGAGTCGGACCGCAGAGTGAAGGAAAAGCAGCCAACAAGTGCTCAGCATGTGGGAACTCCTTCAAGACTGTTGGAGAAGCATTCCAGGTGAAGCTGGTTGAGAGAATGCCAAGAGTGTGCAAAGCTGTCATCAAGGCAAAGGGTGGCTATTTTAAGAATCTCAAATATAAAATATATTTTGATTTGTTTAACCCTTTTTTGGTTATTACATGATTCCATATGTGTTATTTCATAGTTTTGATGTCTTCACTATTCTACAATGTAGAAAATAGTAAAAATAAAGAAAAACCCTTGAATGAGTAGGTGTTATAAAACTTTTGATCGGTTGTGTATATTTATCTCTTTTTTAAATATATTTTCCTTTTATTTTCCCCCAACACCACCACCCCTCCCCTAATTGGCGTAAACTAATGGACAACAACACTAAGGCTTCTACTTCCGGCTTATACATACTATATACATTTGACGGACACAATGTATTTTACAATAGTTATATTTTGTTTGTTTTTAACTCCTTCCTTCATCTAATCCCTATCTCTGAAGAGCATCCAGTTTGATTTCTATTTGCCATATATTTTTAACAGTGCTGTTTCACAAAAGTGCTGATCCTACTGTATATAAATTTTTCGGACACAGTATATTTTATATTAGCTATCTTGTTGTTTTTCGTCCCACCCTTCAGCTCCACTCAACCCCTCCCATCTATCTCTTAACACCATCAATTTTTTATTTCTATTTGCCATATATTTTTCAACTGTGTTGTGATGTTTCACAAAAGTTCTGAACTTTTCTATTCTCATAGTTTCTACAGATTGTAAATTAAAGATAAAAAATTTTGCTAAAATTATTATTATATTATTGATCGATTGACTATGACTTTTCAAACCACCCAGTAGTGCTATTTGCAGAGTTAGCTCCAGGTAAATGTTGCAATTCTGTCAAGTAACTTTTAAACCAGGTACATGCAGCATGGTCTAGGTCAATTGAGGAAAGCCTCTGAATTAGCAGTGAGTGATCAACACTATCGAAAGCCTTTGACAGGTCAATGAAGAGGGCAGCACAATGTTGCCTTATATCCATACAGTTAACCACATCATTTGTAACTAGGGATGCAGCAGAGATATTGCTATGACCTGGTCTAAAACCCGACTGATGTACATTTATACTGAACAAAAATATAAACGCAACAATTTCAACGATTTTACTGAGTTACAGTTCATATAAGGAAATCAATCAATTTAAATAAATTCATTAGGCCCTAATCTATGGATTTCACATGACTGGGCAGGAGCGCAGCCATGGGTGGGCCTGGGAGGGCATAGGCCCACCCACTTGGGAGCCAAGCCTTGCCAAACATAATGAGATTTACCCCACAAAAGGGCTGTATTACAGACAGAAATACTCCTCAGTTTCATCAGCTGTCCAGCTGGCTGGTCTCAGACGTTCCCGCAGGTGAAGAAGCCAGATGTGGAGGTCCTGGGCTGGCGTGGTTACACGTGGTCTGCGGTTGTGAGGCCGGATGGAAGTACTGCCAAATTCTATAAAACAACGTTGGAGGTGGCTTATGGTAGAGAAATTAACATTCAATTCTCTGACAACAGCTCTGGTGGACATTCCTGCAGTCAGCATGCCAACAGCACGCCAATTGCACACTACCTCAAAACATCTGTGGCATTGTGTTGTGTGACAAAACTGCACATTTTAGAGTGGCCTTTTATTTTCCCCAGCACAAGGTGCACATGTGTAATGATCATGCTGTTTAATCAGCTTGTTGATATGCCACACCTGTCAGGTGGATGGATTACCTTGGCAAAGGAGAAATGCTCGCTAACAGGGATGTAAATACATTTGTGCACCAAATTTGAGCGAAATAAGCTTTTTGTGTGTGTGGACATTTCTGGGATCTTTTATTTCAGCTCATGAAACATGGGACCAACACTTTACATGTTGCGTTTTATATTTTTGTTCAGTATAGAATACATTTCAAAGATAAGAAAGATCTTAGCTGAGAATTAATCAAGGATTCACATTTTTTAGCTGGGCAAGAAAGTTTAGAAATAGGCCGATGAATATTGAGGGAAACATGAGTTAAACCTTCCCTACATAGGAAATAAAACGTGATAACTTGATCTATTTGTGCGTGATTGTGAAATTAATTATGACACACAATTTGGACAATTAACCTATTGTCTTACACCCACTGCTCTCTCCAGCTACTCTTGCCCTATGGTTCTGTTGCTCCCACGGGATTAAATGTATGTTCACTGACATCTATATCTTTCTTACAGGAGAATATTAGTGCCCAATTATTGGTTTGTTTGGTTTGTTTCTTTTTCTCATGTATTTCTCATCTAAATTCATCTAGTGCTCCAATTGCCCTGAGTATAGAGGGAGGACTGGAGAGGCGGATGTGGGCAAAGTGGACATGGCATACCGCGTCGTTGCTGACCACGTGCGCACCCTGTCTGTCTGCATTGCTGACGGAGTCTACCCAGGCATGTCTGGGGCCGAGTGAGTCAAACTGCTGTTAGTCTCTCGCTGCACCATGCTCTGATTTTGGCTCATGCACAACAGGCAATCTGAAAGATGCCAGACTTACTAAGCTTTTCCTCTTCATTTAGGAAGGAAATTATAACACCTAAAGGTATAACAAAAGGGTAGTTAACGCTAGAACCGCCTGGCCTTTGACATTTTAGTCATTTTAGCAGACGCTCTTATCCAGAGCGACTTACAGTTAGTGAGTGCATACATTTTCATACTGTAAGTACCTGATAGAGAACGTTGAGAGCGTTACCAGGCGTCTCCTTTAGCATCAGATGCATATCAACCCGCAAGGTGCCCAAATATAAGCACGAACGCGTGATAAATAGTGCATAAACACTAGTGGCACAGTGGTCTAAGGCGCTGCATCGCAGTGCTAGCTGTGCCACTAGAGATCCTGGTTCGAGTCCAGGCTCTGTCGCAGCCGCCCGCAACCGGGAGACCCATGGGCGGCGCACAATTGGTCCAGCGTCGTCCAAGGTAGGGGAGGATTTGGCCGGCAGGGATGTGGGTTCGTTTCCCACGGGGGGCCAGTATGACTGTAAGTCGCTCTGGATAAGAGCGTCTGCTAAATGACTAAAATGTAAATGTAAAAATAAAACAACTATTAGTTATATGTTTAGATAGAGTCAAGGATATGTGTTGTCTAATTCTACAAACTTCTAGTGAAAAATATGCTATTGGAAGAATAATCATTTGGTGGTGTTTATAAAGGTCTTAGAACATAAGAACATAATAGCATTTTCATTATTTGATGTTACAAGTCCATCACAAAGAAGTCCATTATAATGTTGTTTTGGCAGGTCTAAAGAAACATTGTGGAAATAAGAAAATGTATTTAAAAGAAAATAGAATAGCATATTTAAAGTTTATTATGTTACTAGTCAAAACATTTGACATGCATGTGACTCTGAAGGTGAGTGATGCTCCTTTCCTTGCATCTGTCAATTACAAGATGTGCCCATCTCTAAAATGTACAATTTGACAACTGATAATATTGTCACTCATCAGACTATTGTCAATTTTAATCTTGTCTTATTATGTGTGAAATTAGTTTTGGTATAATTTCGATGGGCCAGCTGTGCAGGCTGACAGGCCTTTGTTTCCCCTCACTCATCAACTTGGATAGAGTCAAGGATATGTTTTGCAGTATTCTAAAGGCCTGCTGCAACACGTAGCATGTTTTAGTTTCCCTTACAATACATTTGAATAGTAATAGAGTTACAGTAAATAAAACAGTCCCATAACAGCTTCTTTTTACAAAGTAAAACTTAAAAGATTGATGATATCCCACAAGGCGCTCGGTTAAATTCTTTGCTATAAACATGAGCGCCAACGCTGATAAATAGGCATAACACAAAGTCGTCATTACACTATTGTCTTTCTAAATGAAGTCAACCTCTTCACCCTCCTTATCATTCAGTTTGGCCTAATTTAAATTCAATTGTGAAGTAACGTGCACAATTATCACCCATTCATCCATTTGTCATTCATTCAGTGAAGGGCGAGAGAGACGCATTGGCGCCTGGCTGGGTACCAACGTCCTACAGCGCATTATCTTGGTGGGTTAAGTTGGGAATAGGTGTGAATAAAACAGGTAAAAAGGCTCTATAGGCTGTTTGTGATTTCTAAATTCGGACAAATGAGCAATGTAAAATACAAACATTTTGGAGGAGCAGGACGTCGCATTTTTGTTTTTTACAAAATCAAAAGTCAGTTGCTGTTGGCCGATAGCGGTTCTAGTGTTAAAGGTTAAATTAACTGAGAGTAATATTTCAGTCTAAAATTAACATATCTCAATCCCAAAGATTGAGAAAGAAGATTGAAATGGTGAAATTTGTCTGGGATTGAGACAAATAGCTGAATCTACAAAACAGACTGTGGGAGGTCTGAACACATCTGACAATAATTGGACAATTGTAATTCTTATTCTCTTTCAATTATTGTGTGTGTGCGTGCATTTGTGTGTGCCTGCTGCAGATTGGTTTTGCGCCGTATCCTCCGGCGAGCTGTGAGGTTCAGCACTGAGGTACTGCAGGCCCCTGAGGGAGCGCTGGCAAGCCTGGTACCCACTGTTGCTCGTATCCTGGTGAGTCTGGGCGTGATATCAGACTTGTGCCCTTTGTGTCATCATGGTCTTGATCCTCTCTCAACCACATCTCATTCTACAGGGTGATGCTTATCCTGAACTGCATAAAGAGACAGATAGGGTAAGTTAATTAACATGAAATGAGAGAAATTACATCAACAACACGACAACAACACATTTAATGATGGAAGAAAACATTTTTGTTTTTGCATATACAAAATTCTGGACATTTCGGACACAGCCATTTACTTAACACATGTTTTCTCAGATGAGTGAGAAGGAAGGTATGGTGATAGACTATTAAGATCTATTTTATTTATTTTCAGATCATGGATATAATCAATGAAAACGAGGCCCAGTTCCTGTCCTCTCTGAAGCAGGGGCGCAGAGTGATTGACAGGACACTCCAGAGATTGGAGAAAAATGACACTCTATTCCCAGGTCAGCTTCAGTATTAGGATACTAGGATACATTACTAGGATAGGGTAGGGTTTGTAATAGGGTATTTGTGTTCTACATTTTTTGGGCAATTTATTTCTGTAGTCAATCCTTTGTGTGTGTGCTTATCTCCTAGCGCCTGTGGCCTGGTCTCTGCATCGTAACCTGGGCTTTCCTCTGGATCTCATTGGACTAATGCTGGAGGAGAAGGGCTTGAGTGTTGACCAACAGGCCCTTTATGAGTTGGCCATTGAAAATGAAAAGGTAACTACAGTCAGTGCTTTTCTTTTCCTCTCCTTTTCTCTACCTGAAGCAAATATTGGTAGTCTAATTTAGCTTTATGAAGCTGCATAGCCAATTACTATAAAGTAACTGTCCAGTGTTTCCAGATTATATGAAATATCACCTATAATTAATTACAATGAGTGAAATAGTTTTCCTTCCAAAAAATTGTAATTAGGTATTTCTGTGTTTGAATGGTGTGGGCGTATACCAGTCATTACAAATATTAACGTGAGTACACCGCTGATTGGCCAGCTCAGCCAATGAGCCAACATGTTCTATGAGGATATAGCAAGCATTTTTGAAACAGTCTGTTTGAGATTCAACTTTGAGGTGGAGATTTTTGTGTTTTTTCTCCAATTTATGCTTTGGCCACAAATACGAGTATAGGACGAGTCAAAAACAATATTTGGGTATGAGTTAAATGTGAGATTTTCACTGGACATCTACTTTAAACATTACACTTTTATGGTTTTACCACATATTAGTTTGTTCCTTTACTCAACACTGCATTATTTCATGAGTACTACATTTACATTAAAAGGATAAATTAATGCTTAAGAATAAATTATTTATGGTTTTAATCTATTGAAACTATGTGAGGCCATCCAGCTTTTTCAGCATTCTTTGCAGATAACTGTTTTTACTGACAATTATGCACCCCATTCCATGGCAGTCTCTCCTCTCCCCACCTTAAGTGTCAGGTTCAGACCTCAATTGGGGATACGCTGGTCCATCTGGATCTGCACAGCCTAGCCCAGCTGCAGAGTGGAGAAGTCCCCCACACAGACGACTCTCCCAAGTACCACTACAGCTTGGCACAGGATGGCAAATATGGTATGAATGAGTTCTCGAGATAGAGACAACATGCTCACTCACAATTACAGTAATATGTCTTAAATGGTTGGGTGCTGGATCCTCGCTAGGAAAATCCTTAGAGAATGAATTAGACAGCACTCCAAAGGATAATCTTCAATACTGCTCCAAAGGATAGTATTCAATCAATATTATTATATTCAGGTCAATTATCCTTTGTATTGCTGTCCACTTTATTATAATAATAATAATAATAAATAATAATATGCCATTTAGCAGATGCTTTTATCCAAAGCGACTTACAGTCATGCGTGCATACATTTTTGTGTATGGGTGGTCCCGGGGATCGAACCCACTACCCTGGCGTTACAAGCGCCGTGCTCTACCAGCTGAGCTACATTCTCTCTGAAAGGAGCCCTGTGTTTTTTTATCCAGTGTTCCAGCCCTGCCATGCTACCGTGCAGGCCCTGTACTGTGGACAGTCTCTTGTCTCGAAGGTGGCCGGGGGCCAGAGGTGTGGTGTGGTGCTGGACCGGACCTGTTTCTATGCAGAGCAAGGCGGGCAGTCCCACGATCAGGGCTACTTCATCAGAGATGGACTGCCGGTCAGTGTTAGCTACACCTTGTTTAAGACACCATGTTTAAGTTATGTTTAAGTGCACTGTGTCACAACGTGTGTCTTGTGAGCTGCTTGTTAGGGATGGGCCTGAAAATGCGTGGTCCATACATTGCATGTTCAACTTTCCTGCATATGAATGTCCTATCCCTCAGCTAAATATTTACTAAGCTATTGAAACTAAATTAATTGAATCATTCCTTTCATGGTATATTTACTAGCCTAGTTAGCTGAATTGGCTGGAGTTGATCCCTAGGGTTTTGGGATGTTGTGTGTGTTCCCTCAGGATGTCCTGTACCCTGTTGAGGCTGTGCAGGTTGCTGGGGGATATGTGGTTCATCAGGTCACTGCTGCTGAAGTGCTGAGAAAAGGAGACCAGGTCCAGCTCTACGTAGATGAGGTATAACATTTTCTACAGGTCACCTCTTAGCTTACACAATGGACCTTATTTACACAGCAGACATGATCATTTGAAATCCAGCCTAGTTGGGTAGAAGGAAGCAAAAGTGCTCTATTGAAGTCTATGGAAAATAGTGCTGAAACTATCCTCACGTTCAACCTTTAAATGAACAAATAAGTCATAAATCATCAGAGTATCTATAGTCACACTGTATTTGACTGCCAAACCTGTTTAAACATATGTTGGTTACCATAGACCAGGGGTGTCAAACTCATTCCATGGAGGGCCTAGAGTCTGCAGGTTTTTTGGATTTTCCTTTCAATTAAGCCCTTGACAACCATGTGTGGGGAGTTCCTTACTAATTACATTCACATTTTAGTCATTTAGCAGACGCTCTTATCCAGAGCGACTTACAGTTAGTGAGTCCATACATATTTTTTTCAATTAAGTGGGCCTTAATTCATCAACCAAGTACAAGGGAGGAGCAAAAACCCGCAGACACTCGGCCCTTCGTGGAATGAGTTTGACACATTCCATAGACAAATGCAGGTTAGCTTATAAAAAATAATTATCCATAAGGCTTCTGCAACAAATGAACTACGGGTGTGTGTTATTTGTGATATATGTGTGTTTGTGCGCTTTAAATCTATCCGACTGGGCAAAAACTGGTTGAATCAACGTTGTTTCCACATAATTTCAACCAAAAAAGTTAACGTGAGGATGTTGAATCAATGTGAAAAACTGATTGGATTTGCAAAAAGTCATCAACGTAAGGGAATTTTGTATTTTTTTCACAAAACTTTTCACCTAAATCCAATGACAGGGTGACATTTTTGGTTGATTTCATGTTGTATTCACATGAATGTAAATCAAAACTAGATATTGAACTGACGTCTGTGCCCAGTGGGATGTTTGTGACGTATACTTTGTCATAAATATGATTATGTTAATAGCATATTACATGTCATAATTGAATTTGCTAATAAGAAAATAACATGTTTATTCACATCCAGCCACAGAGACTAGCCTGCATGGTCAAGCACACAGCCACACACGTCCTCAACTTCGTCCTCCGTCAGCTGCTGGGTCCTTCTGTGGAGCAGAGAGGCAGTCATGTCGCTGCAGACCGCCTACGCTTTGACTTCAGCGTCAAGGTATACAATACGACCCGTTTTTAGCCCCTCTTGAATTTGATAATTTGTCGTTGTCCTCTTGGACTTTACATTTTTAAAATACTCATAGCAGCCTTGGGTGATTCAGCTTATAGTATGACAAGTATCTTATATTATCTATCCACACATTTAAAACCAAATTCAGCACAGAATTTCGAAAACACATTTTATTTAACAACATAAGGATTGCATCAATCATCAGCTCTCTGTTTAATCTTGAACCCTTGTGGGGCTTTCACATATCTCTGTATGATCCGGATCCTGGAGCGTTTGGTACCCTGATCCGCACTATAAAGCGTATGTGAAACGTAAATGAATCCTGGCCGAAACGAATCCTGGACCCTGCCCAGGCTGTGGGTCCAAGATCCAGTACCAGGTATTGTGACGCAGCAACACTTTATGCTGATGTTCACGTGCAGAAACGTTCAAATACAAAGTTGGTCATTCAACTTTTGTTAGCCAGCAAAGGTTAGCTAGAATACTATTAACTAGCTTAATTAGGTAAATCAGCTCAAATAAAATACAATTACATAAAATAAGAGGAAGGGGTGACATGGACTGTCTGTGAAACCAAGACCTTACTGGAGATCTGGGGAGATGAGGATCAAGGCGGAATTGTCAAACACCCACAAAAACACAGTGTTGTGTGGGAAAATGTGTCCTGTACTGCTCTGCATTCCTGTACTGCTCTGTAATTTGTGAACGTATGGGGGCAAAAGGCTACACAAGGAATGCAGAGCAGTACAGGACACATTTTCCCACACAACACTGTGTTTTTGTGGGTGTTTGACAATTCCGCCTCGATCCTCAGGATAGGAGGACCAAGAGGAAAAGGAAGGCACCTGACACACACAGCACCATGGCACCAATTGCAGACACACAGAAGAAACAATTTGAGGAGTTCATGAAGTTGGAGACTGACCGCCTCTTGAGCGAGGAGAAGCAGGCAGATCAACTGGTGGCATGTACAGCAAATGAGGAAAATAACAGTGAAAGGCAGCTTCAGCAAATGGATGAACTCCTCAGTGAGAATAAGAGCATTCTTACATTGTTTCAGCAGCTGGCAAACACATTTGAACATGTGGCAAGGGCCCTTGTTCCACCTCACCAAAGCTGTCCCCCAACAACACAAAGCAGGCCCAACAACACAGCGTGGTATCCCCCCACAAGACCATTTGGAGCTTCAGTGTACTCACCTATACACCATTTAGAAGGCTCCATCAACATCCACCACGACCACATGTCGTCGTCTGTAGCCATCCATTGCAGAACTTTTGTATTGTCTGATTTGATAAAATACATATAATTCTAATTAGTTCAGTTTGGTTTTTAGATAATAAATCAGATTTAACAAACATCAATTGATGCAAATATTTATTATGTAAGGGATAAACGCCGTCGTTCTCTACATTACCTTGGAAATAATGGACGACGCAGCAGGACGAGGCGGAGCCGTTCATTCCTTATGTTCCGTTGCCATGTTCAGTGGCAACGTTCTTATCCCTTGCCTACTGCTAGCTAGCCAACTAGCTATGGCTACACAGTCACTACCTCTGCAGCCAGAATAACAGCAATGTTTATTCCGTTGCATTTGTTTAAGCTGTTTATTACATTTACATTTTAGTCATTTAGCAGACGCTCTTATCCACAGCGACTTACAGTTAGTGAGTGCATTCATTTTTCATACTGGCCCCCCCGTGGGAAACGAACCCACAACCCTGGCGTTGCAAGCGCCATGCTCTATCAACTGAGCTACAGGGGACTGTATTCATAAACCATGTGCCATGGAATCGGTACATATCCCGCTTATACCACAGTTGCCAAAGAAAACAATACTAAGCACACCGGTAGAAATAAAAAACAAATAATTAATAATTTCATTTATATAAGCAAATTCATACTTTCTCATCTTTTGGTTGCTATCGACGCGACCCAGTCGTTTGTTTGATATTTATGGACGTGACCCAGTCGTTTGTTCTTTATGTTCCGTTGCCATGCTCACTGGCAACGTTGTTATCCCTTGCTTGCTAGCTAGCCAGCTAGCTACGGCTAACACAGTCATGACCTCTGCAGCCAGAATAACAGCAAAGTAGCTGTTTTCTATTGACATTCATTTCGATACATCCATAACAATATGCTGATAATACCCCATTTTGGCCTTGCATAGCTAGAAAAGTTTGCCTTCTCGTCAGGACACTCATCAACACTGACTGTTAATTACGAGGAGTTCACATTTAAGTGATAATGCCCTCGAAGCCGGTGTTTGGAGGATATATTGGCACAGGTGTTGTTAGGCCCGAGACGAAGTCGAAGGCCGGCAAACCGTGCCAATATATCCTCCAAAACACCGGCTTCGAGGGCATTATCACTTTTATACAACAGGTTACCAACATATTCAAATAATAAAAAACGTTATTTTGATTTATTCTTACTATTTTATCCTTCCATGAGATATAGTCCCGACACAAATCTTGGGTTGCTACCCAAGCCGGCTGGTCGTTCTTCGTTCTATCGATTCGGTTGCCAGAGACACGACCCAGTCATTAAGTATTTTTGTTCTAAATCTATGGACTTGACCAGTCGTTCGTTCTAAATGTTCCATTGCCATGATGGCTGGCAACATTCTTATCCCTTGCTCGCTAGCTAGCCAACTTTGGCTAACAATGCTACCAGAATTATAGCAAAATTGCTGCATTTGCATATGTTTAAGCTGTTTTCTAGTGATTTTTTTGGGGGAATACATCCATAACAATGAGCTAATGATGTGCGATTTCGCCTGGCATAGAACATTTGCCCTCTTGCCAGGCCACAGTTCAGAAGAGATGGTCAACTACATAGCTAACACAATCACTTCAAACTGAAGCTGGAATGACAGCAAACTAGCTGCATTTTGTGTTTTGTATTGACACTTCTTTGTATATATCCATAAAGACTATGCTGATTCATGATTTTGACTGGCTGAGAAAAGCTGCCTGTCTGTCTCGTCCTGACTCCCGACACGTTCATTAGCATAGGACAGCTGGAGATCGAATTTCAATATCGAAACAATGTTGCAAATGTCGGAGAGACAGATTATTACAAATCTCCGCTGTTGAAAACCAAATACTATTCTAAAAGAAATGGGAGATAATGTCTAGATGCTTTTTATACTGTAGATCTAGAATATACAGTACATTGCCTGGCTGAGCTAATGAGACAGTGGTTTGCGCAGTCAGATGGAACAGAGTAAATAGGCATTTCAACGTCATAGATTTAGCCTGTGGTAACTTGTGGAATATACACCGTCTGGAATGCGGTTTTAACCAATCAGCATTGAGAATTAGACCCACCCGTTGTAAAATGACAATGTAATAGCCAACGATTGTCATCTTGAATAGATAAGGCCCCTGTGGCCTACTTTATGAACATGGATTACTTAAATGTTGTTTTTATAAAACACAAAAAAACAAGACCAAGCCAATGAAGTATTTTTTTTCATTTAATTAAATTGATTGTTTGCACATTCTGTGTTTTGATTTTAAAAAATACTGGTTCATCGTAATATACAATTATTAATTATATTTGACAGTTTTGCTTGTCATAATAATAATAATAATAATAATAATAATAATAATAATATGCCATTTAGCAGACGCTTTTATCCAAAGCGACTTACAGTCATGCGTGCATACATTTTTTTTGTGTGTATGGGTGGTCCCGGGGATCGAACCCACTACCTTGGCGTTACAAGCGCCGTGCTCTACCAGCTGAGCTACAGCTGAGCCCCTATTATACTCTATAGGGGCAACAAGTTGCGCGGAAATAGCCAGGCATCTTTTTACTCACCTTTTTGCATGTTTTTGGATGAGTATGCTGAGAAACATATTCAACCTCTAACTCTTGATTCATCCTTAGAAACCGTTGGCCTCGGTGTTGTTGTGTGAGCCTCCTGTGTCGGTTTAGGCAGATAGTTTGCCGTTGTCCTGCTGCTCTTACATCGTTCAGTATATGCATCATGGTCCCGACATTTCGGCTATACTGTTGATTCAAGGAAATCATAAGAGAAAGTAAAAAATAATTGTAAATTGGTCTCCATGTTTAAGCTAGCAGGGTTTTAATGCAGACAGTCCCAGAATTCCCAAAACCATTCTGATACATTTACATTTTACATTTATGTCATTTAGCAGACGCTCTTATCCAGAGCGACTTACAAATTGGTGCATTCACCTTATAGCCAGTGGGATAACCACTTTACAATATGTTTCTTTTTCTTTTTTTTCTTTCTTTGGGGTGGGGTAAGGGGGGGTAGAAGGATTACTTTATCCTATCCCAGGTATTCCTTAAAGAGGTGGGGTTTCAAGTGTCTCTGGAAGGTGGTGAGTGACTCCGCTGTCCTGGTGTCGTGAGGGAGCTTGTTCCACCATTGGGGTGCCAGAGCAGCGAACAGTTTTGACTGGGCTGAGCGGGAACTGTGCTTCCGCAGAGGTAGGGGGGCCAGCAGGCCAGAGGTGGATGAACGCAATGCCCTCGTTTGGGTGTAGGGACTGATCAGAGCCTGAAGGTATGGAGGTGCTGTTCCCCTCACAGCTCCGTAGGCAAGCACCATGGTCTTGTAGCAGATGCGAGCTTCAACTGGAAGCCAGTGGAGTGTGCGGAGGAGCGGGGTGACGTGAGAGAACTTGGGAAGGTTGAACATCAGACGGGTTGCGGCATTCTAGATGAGTTGTAGGGGTTTCATGGCACAGGCAAGGAGCCCAGCCAACAGTGAGTTGCAGTAATCCAGACGGGAGATGACAAGTGCCTGGATTAGGACCTGTGCCGCTTCTTGTGTAAGGCAGGGTCGTACTCTCCGAATGTTGTAGAGCATGAACCTACAGGATCGGGTCACCGCCTTGATGTTAGCGGAGAACGACAGGGTGTTGTCCAGGGTCACGCCAAGGCTCTTCGCACTCTGGGAGGAGGACACAACGGAGTTGTCAACCGTGATGGCGAGATCATGGAACGGGCAGTCCTTCCCCGGGAAGAAGAGCAGCTCCGTCTTGCCGAGGTTCAGCTTGAGGTGGTGATCCGTCATCCACACTGATATGTCTGCCAGACATGCAGAGATGCGATTCGCCACCTGGTTATCAGAAGGGGGAAAGGAGAAGATTAGTTGTGTGTCGTCTGCGTAGCAATGATAGGAGAGGCCATGTGAGGATATGACAGAGCCAAGTGACTTGGTGTATAGCGAGAATAGGAGAGGGCCTAGAACTGAGCCCTGGGGGACACCAGTGGTGAGAGCACGTGGTGCGGAGACAGATTCTCGCCACGCCACTTGGTAGGAGCGACCAGTCAGGTAGGACGCAATCCAAGAGTGAGCCACGCCGGAGATGCCCAACTCGGAGAGGGTGGAGAGGAGGATCTGATGGTTCACAGTATCAAAGGCAGCAGACAGGTCTAGAAGGACAAGAGCAGAGGAGAGAGAGTTAGCTTTAGCAGTGCGGAGAGCCTACGTGACACAGAGAAGAGCAGTCTCAGTTGAATGACCAATCTTGAAACCTGACTGGTTTGGATCAAGAAGGTCATTCTGAGAGAGATAGCAAGAGAGTTGGCTAAAGACTGCACGCTCAAGAGTTTTGGAGAGAAAAGAAAGAAGGGATACTGGTCTGTAGTTGTTGACATCAGAGGGATCGAGTGTTGGTTTGAAGACGGAAGGGACATAGCCAGCGGTCAAGGATGAGCGAGGTGAGGTAAGGGAGAAGGTCCCGGAGATGGTCTGGAGAAGAGAGGAGGGGATAGGGTCAAGCGGGCAGGTTGTTGGTCGGCCGTCACAAGTCGGCTGCCCAACAGACAATGAGACAATGAGGTTAGAAAAACAGCTGAACGGTAGGCATTATTGTATGTAATTATTGTAGGCAGCTAGCTGGCGTAATTACAGGTACTCTCAGGCGTGAAACAACTATCCACAGTTGCTAATAGTTACCAGTAGCTGCCCGCTAGCTAGTCCAGGTAGTGGGTTAGCTAGCTTCGTACTTCACCGGGCTCAGCCGAATACAATACTTACCTACAATAATAACATACAACAACCCACGATAACTACCTACAATACCTAACTACCATCTAAATACATAGTTTAAGCTTTACTTGACAAAGCCTAAACTATGTATATAAGCTTACCTCCTGCCAGAGAGAGACACAACCTCACCCGACGACGACCAATACCGACTGTATTTGCAAAGTGTTGTTCATGCACTTAGCAACATACATTGTAAGTGTCAACCCAATGGTTGCAATTTGATACGTTTAAAAAATACATTGTGAAACCCAAACGTATTCTGTGGAATTGTCGCGAACGCTCCAGAGAACCGCACCAGGGTACCGAAATTTCATGTGACAACACCCTTAGAGTAATCACATCCCTGTTATGAATGTTTGGAAGTTATATGCATTGCCAAAATCCAGTAAAGTCCAGTAGATAAGCAAAAAAAAACCTCACTGATATATAGAAGCATGAAAACACTTGGGATGTAATAATAATAATTGCTTTCTGGTGGTCATTCTGTAGGGATCATTGAGTATTCCCCAGCTCCAGGAGATTGAGAGGAGCATCCACAACATTATCACAGAGAATAATGCGGTGTACATAGAGGAGGTTCCCCTGGCCCGGGCTAAAGACATCCCAGGACTAAGGACTGTGGATGAGGTAACTGTGTATTGATTTGGGGACACTCCTACGCAGATTAAAAGGAATAATGATGTTCGTAACTGTAAAGTGTTGTTCATGCACTTAGCAACATACATTGTAAGTGTCAACCCAATGGTTGCAATTTGTAAGTGCAAGATATACTGCATAATAGTGTGTTGGCTTTGGAGGATTCATGAATGCTCTGTAATTCTTCCTAGTTGTACCCTGATACAGTGAGAGTGGTGTCCGTGGCAGTTCCCGTGGCAGACCTGTTCAATTCTCAGACGGATAGACGGACGTCAGTGGAGCTCTGCTGTGGAACGTAAGTGTTGTCTGTCTGTCTCTGTCTGTCTCACTCAATCACTCTTTCTCCCTCTCTCCGATAGATTCAAAAGGCATTTTTAAATGTATTACTTAATATTACTTGTTATTTACCATTATGAAATGACAATATGTCTCACCTTTCGGCATGTGAGGATGTGGCAAATTGCACAATATACTGTAAAAGAGCCAAAATATGAAAATGAGAAGAGACAGTCGAATTTATAAGCTTTATCGTGGGTTAAGGTTAGAAACAGATAACATATTTGGAGGAGTAGATTTGACAATTCCTATAGTAGTGAACAATACTAAATATTATATGTTCATTGGCTGTTCCAAAAGGGCCAAGCGTTTTTCTATTTTTCAGGCATTTACTGAGGACCGGGGAGATCGGGGATTTGGTTATAATTTCCGAGAGGCAGATGGTTAAAGGGATCAGCCGTATCGTGGCAGTCACTGGAGACGATGCCAGAGAGGTGTGTTCTATAAAAGCAAGAAGGCATATGACTAAATGGGCCGTGACTTATTGTGAATATACCAGAGGTGCATAGTAGCGGACTATATACAATCACATCACTCATATATTCTCATGTTTTACAACACCAGTTAGTCTCTCGCGCAAGGCTTTTATGTTGCTGTTTCAGTATTAATTATGTAAATTTTCCAATTTTATATTTAGGAAGTCATATATCACTGATCTTTTTAAAAACATTCCATGATCAAATAATATCAAATTATTCCTGAAGTGTGCACTCGTTCACAACTTCCCACAAATCTAAAAGCATTGGATTGTTGGAGGCACGGGCAGGTGGGAATTTCCACCATATTTCTTAAACCAGTCGTTTCCTTTCAAATCAGTGAAGGGAAGTGAACAAGTGCACACTTTGGGAGGAAGGAGAGATAATTGGGACATAGCCCAAGTTGAACGTTTTGGCAAATCACAAGGCTAGCAAGTAGCTTTCAACGAGATCCATTCTGATATTTGTTGTTGTTTTGTTGGCTCACAGGCTCGAGAGGCGGGACAGATCCTGACCCAGGAAGTGGAGTCTCTGTCGGCACGTCTTGCAGTGGTCGCCAGCCCCTCCCTCGCAGATGCCCACCGGCTGGCCAAAGAAGTGGGCATACTGACAGATGTATGTATGCTTTTCCGCTCCCGACCCACTGACCTAACTGATAGTATTCAGACAGACAAGATTGAAAATGCTCCAAAAGGCAATTTCAGACAGTATTCAATTATGGCCTAAGTGTTTGAATAGCCGAGAGCATGGGACCTGCATTTTTGTCAAAATTGAGTTATTGACATAGCCCTGTTCTGTTCAATGTTCTCTACCTATAAAGTACTCTAAATACCCCAATTCATGTTGTTAAATTCAAAAGATTACAAGATAAATTGCTTATATCATTCAAACTTTAAAGCCAATTTTCTCAGAATCATCTTTTTGCAGATATAACCTTATAGTCCCAAGCGATCACATTACTTTAAATAGTTAGAATTAAATACAAATATGACACAAATGCTTAGGCCTTATATGTGTTTTGTCCCAGGCAGTGGATTGCACTCCCATACCACAGTGGAAGCGGAGAGAGCTTCAAACTCGCCTCAAAGGTCTACAGAGGACAACCAACACAAGCATAAGGAAACTGGAGACCAAAGAGGTAACTCAAGCACACAACCCCATTGTCCTTTCAAACGTGTATTATTTCCCCCACAATAGCTACTTGACTTTAATGTGACAGGTAAAAAGATTAGTTGATCCTATTTTCTAACTTTTTGTATGTGAGAAGACACATGAGTCACAACAGCATTATAAAACAATCACCATTTTTAATGCATGATAAATAATGGTAATGTACATTATACTATTGTACTTTTAACTACTTTCTCTTTCTTACTTTTGTCCAATTTGCAGGCTGCTGTGAAAGCCCAATCACTATTCAAAAAGAATGGCAACAAGACTATTGTAGTGGACGCTGTGGACACAGACTCTATATCAGTATGTTTTTCATCTGAATTTCTGATGAGGCTCAGTATGTGTTCAGCATCCACAATTAGATAACTTTGCCCCATATTAAACTAATGCATCAGTATTCACAGAGAGTGAGTTACTATATTTTATCAATCACTTTTAGTGCCACCATCGTTTTTGGGAAACAGCTTAGATTCTAATGATGCACTTAAAGTGGGATTTAATGATGAACTTACCGTTACTAAGGCTCTGAGAAACTGAGCCTCGACTGTAGCATTTAGTTGATCCCGTTGCTCTCATTGTAGGTGCTGATGAAGACAGTGAACCAATACAGTGACATAGCCCCAGGGACCCTGGTCATGCTACTCTCCCACCAGCAGCCATCGGGGAAGGTCCTGTGCGCGTGCCAAGTGCCCAAGGTATAGGGTCTAGCTCATACATCACTGTATTTACTGATACTGTATTTTCTCTCAATAGGTCAAGTGAAAGTAATTTAATAGCAACAATTGTAACAACTAAAGCTGCATACAGTCTGAAGACACCTGTCTCTTATCACGCTCAATCTCTTTGTCTGTTTTTGTCTATGTGCCGGCCCAAACAGTCTTTCTCTTTTTGTCTGTATCTTTTCTCTTCTCTCTTACACTCAACACCTATGTATTTGGACATTGACGCTAACATTTAAATGTGTCTTTATACTCCAGCATTTTGGATTTGAGATCATATATTACAGTATAGAATGTCACCTTTTATTTTAGGGTATTTTCATACATATATATGTTTTACTGTTTAGAAAAAGACAAAGTGCTTTCATTTCTTAATGGTAAAAAAGATAGGGGAGAGTGGGGTAAGTTGTGCCGAAGGGTTTGTTGAGCCACCCCTTGTTTCTAGGAAACCATACACAAAATTAATCATGTGACCAAATATTTAGGAAGAGGTAATTATTTCATGGAGTCTGTGAAGGAAGAAACCTCATGGAAAAAGTGGTAAGCAAGTTAGGTCCAAAAAACAGATTTTCACAAAGTCAAATTAATTTATGTTATAGGTTTCATGATGCTTGTATCTAAACCAAAGTAGATTGTTTTAAGACTGTTTTATACATCAGTTGGGGTCTCTATAAGCTACAATATGAGGTCCTAAACCTAGCATGAAAGTGCATCCTTGTAGCTGTATGGGCTAATATAGTCAAAATGATTGCTTTGTGGTAAATTGATCCAATGGCTAATCAATATACCTCAAATGAATTACATTTCAATCAATCAATTTTTATTTTATATAGCCCTTCTTACATCAGCTAATATCTCGAAGTGCTGTACAGAAACCCAGCCTAAAACCCCAAACAGCTAGTAATGCAGGTGTAGAAGCACGGTGGCTAGGAAAAACTCCCTAGAAAGGCCAAAACCTAGGAAGAAACCTAGAGAGGAACCAGGCTATGAGGGGTGGCCAGTCCTCTTCTGGCTGTGCCGGGTGGAGATTATAACAGAACCATGCCAAGATGTTCAAAAATGTTCATAAGTGACAAGCATGGTCAAATAATAATCAGGAATAAATCTCAGTTGGCTTTTCATAGCCGATCATTAAGAGTTGAAAACAGCAGGTCTGGGACAGGTAGGGGTTCCATAACCGCAGGCAGAACAGTTGAAACTGGAATAGCAGCAAGGCCAGGCGGACTGGGGACAGCAAGGAGTCACCACGGCCGGTAGTCCCGACGTATGGTCCTAGGGCTCAGGTCTCTCAGTTGGCTTTTCATAGCCGATCATTAAGAGTTGAAAACAGCAGGTCTGGGACAGGTAGGGGTTTCGTAACCGCAGGCAGAACAGTTGAAACTGGAATAGCAGCAAGGCCAGGCGGACTGGGAACAGCAAGGTGTCATCATGCCCGGTAGTCCTGACGTATGGTCCTAGGGCTCAGGTTCTCAGAGAGAAAGAGAGAACGAGAGAACACATTTTGGCACAGTATTTTGAAGACACCTCATGTTCGTGTGATTAGTCAAGTTCAAATGATGAAAGATGCCTTCCTCAGTTGAATTCGCCCTCCTCTAGGCCACAATTGAAGTATTTTCTTCCCAGGTGTAATGCAAGGCATTATTGCTGGGATATGAGGTTACACCAGGACCTGAGTCAATGTTATAAGTGTTTGAAAAAAGTGCAAAGTGTTAGAAATGTGTCCCTATGCTAACCCTGTCCCTATGCTCAATTTACCCCATACCCGGGGTAAGTTGTGCCAAGAGACGACTTCTTTTGGACAACTATGGTTTTCAAAACTGTTATGTTTACATTAATTCTGATTATTTTCGGGGATAAACAACATCCTGAAATATACAGTGGGGGAAAAAAAGTATTTAGTCAGCCACCAATTGTGCAAGTTCTCCCACTTAAAAAGATGAGAGAGGCCTGTAATTTTCATCATAGGTACACGTCAACTATGACAGACAAAATGAGAAAAAAATTCCAGAAAATCACATTGTAGGATTTTTTATGAATTAATTTGCAAGTTATGGTGGAAAATAAGTATTTGGTCAATAACAAAAGTTTCTCAATACTTTGTTAAATACCCTTTGTTGGCAATGACACAGGTCAAACGTTTTCTGTAAGTCTTCACAAGGTTTTCACACACTGTTGCTGGTATTTTGGCCCATTCCTCCATGCAGATCTCCTCTAGAGCAGTGAAGTTTTGGGGCTGTCGCTGGGCAACAGACTTTCAACCCCCATTTTCTATGGGGTTGAGATCTGGAGACTGGCTAGGCCACTCCAGGACCTTGAAATGCTTGTTACGAAGCCACTCCTTCGTTGCCCGGGCGGTGTGTTTGGGATCATTGTCATGCTGAAAGACCCAGCCACGTTTCATCTTCAATGCCCTTGCTGATGGAAGGAGGTTTTCACTCAAAATCTCACGATACATGGCCCCATTCATTCTTTCCTTTACACGGATCAGTCGTCCTGGTCCCTTTGCAGAAAAACAGCCCCCAAAGCATGATGTTTCCTCCCCCATGCTTCACAGTAGGTATGGTGTTCTTTGGATGCAACTCAGCATTCTTTGTCCTCCAAACACGACGAGTTGAGTTTTTACCAAAAAGTTATATTTTGGTTTCATCTGACCATATGACATTCTCCCAATCCTCTTCTGAATCATCCAAATGCACTCTAGCAAACTTCAGATGGGCCTGGACATGTACTGGCTTAAGCAGGGGGACACGTCTGGCACTGCAGGATTTGAGTCCCTGGCGGCGTAGTGTGTTACTGATGGTAGGCTTTGTTACTTTGGTCCCAGCTCTCTGCAGGTCATTCACTAGGTCCCCCCGTGTGGTTCTGGGATTTTTGCTCACCGTTCTTGTGATCATTTTGACCCCACGGGGTGAGATCTTGCGTGGAGCCCCAGATCGAGGGAGATTATCAGTGGTCTTGTATGTCTTCCATTTCCAAATAATTGCTCCCACAGTTGATTTCTTCAAACAAGGCTGCTTACTTATTGCAGATTCAGTCTTCCCAGCTTGGTGCAGGTCTACAATTTTGTTTCTGGTGTCCTTTGACAGCTCTTTGGTCTTGGCCATAGTGGAGTTTGGAGTGTGACTGTTTGAGGTTGTGGACAGGTGTCTTTTATACTGATAACAAGTTCAAACAGGTGCCATTAATACAGGTAACGAGTGGAGGACAGAGGAGCCTCTTAAAGAAGAAGTTACAGGTCTGTGAGCCAGAAATCTTGCTTGTTTGTAGGTGACCAAATACTTATTTTCCACCATAATTTGCAAATAAATTCATTAAAAATCCTACAATGTGATTTTCTGGAGAAAAAAAATCTCAATTTGTCTGTCATAGTTGACGTGTACCTATGATGGAAATTACAGGCCTCTCATCTTTTTAAGTGGGAGAACTTGCACAATTGGTGGCTGACTAAATACTTTTTTCCCCCACTGTATGTAGATATCTTTGTTAGAAAGAATAGTATTTTCCTTTGATATAGTGATCCTGAATGTAAATAATGGCTCAACATACCCCACTCTCACCTATGTACAGTGAATTCGGAAAGTATTCAGACCTGTTGACTTTTTCCACATTTTGTTACGCTACAGCCTTATTCTAAAATGGATTAAACTATTTATTTCCCTCATCAATCTACACACAATACCCCATAAAGACAAAGCGAAAACAGTTTTTTTTAGAAATGTTAGCAAGTTTATGACAAAAAAACAAATAAGAAAAACACTTATTTACATAAGTATTCAGACCCTTTGCTATGAGACTTGAAATTGAGCTCGGGCATCCTGTTTCCATTCATCATCCTTGAGATGTTTCTACAACTAGATTGGAGTTCACCTGTGGTAAATTCAATTGATTGGACATGATTTGGAAAGCCACACACCTGTCTATATAAGGTCCCACAGTTGAAAATGCATGTCAGAGCAAAAACCAAGCCATGAGGTCGAGGGAATTGTCCGTAGAGCTCCGAGACAGGATTGTGTCGAGGCACAGATCTGGGGAAGGGTACCAAAACATTTCTGCAGCATTGAAGGTCCCCAAGAACACAGTGGCCTCCATCATTCTTAAATGGAAAAAGTTTAGAACCACCAAGACTCTGCCTAGAGCTGGCCGCCCGGTCAAACTGAGCAATTCGGGGGAGAAGGGCCTTGGTCAGGGATGTGACCAAGAACCCGATGGTCACTCTGACAGAGCTCCAGAGTTCCTCTGTGGAGATGGGAGAATCTTCCAGAAGGTCAACCTTCTCTGCAGCACTCCACCAATCAGGTCTTTATGGTAGAGTGGCCAGACGGAAGCCACTCCTCAGTAAAAGGCACATGACAGCCCGGTTGGAGTTTGCCAAAAGGCACCTAAAGGACTCTCAGACAATGAAAAACAAGATTATCTGTTCTGAAACCAAGATTGAACTCTTTGGCCTAAATGCCAGGCGTCACGTCTGGAGGAAACCTGGCACTGTCCCTACGGTGAAGCATGGTGGCGGCAGCATCATGCTGTGGGATGTTTTACAGCGGTAGGGACTGGGAGACTAGTCAGGATCAAGGGAAAGATGAACAGAGCAAAGTACAGAGAGATACTTCATGAAAACCTGCTCCAGAGCACTCAGGAGCTCAGACTGGGGGCGAAGGTTCACTTCCAACAGGACAACGACCCTAAGCACACTGCCAGAGCCCGGACTTGAACCCTATCGAACATCTCTGGAGAAACCTGAAAATAGCTGTGCAGTAATGCTCCTCATCCAACCTGACAGAGCATGAGAGGATCTGCAGAGAAGAATGGGAGAAACTCCCCTAATACAGGTGTGCCAAGCTTGTAGCGTCATACCCAAGAAGACTCAAGGCTGTAATCGCTGCCAAAGGTGCTTCAACAAAGTACTGAATAAAGGGTCTGAATACTTATGCAAAAATTTCTAAAAACCAGTTTTTGCTTTGTCATTATGGGTTATTGTGTATATTGATGAAGGAAAAAAAACAATTTAATCCATTTTAGAATAATGCTGTAACATAGCAAAATGTGGAAAAAGTCAGTGTCTGAATACTTTCCGAAAGCACTGTACGAAAATACTCTCAAATAAAAGGTTACTTTTTTTTTTTACTGACGCCTTATATGAAACATTTGATCTCAAATCCCAAAATGCTGCAGTATAGAGCCAAATTAAAACATGTAGCTTCACTGTCCAAATACATATGGTATTGTGTGTGTGTGTGTATATTCACACACTCTTTCCTGCCTGTTCTCTCTCTCTCCATCACACCAACACTCACTCTACATCTTTGTCTCTCCATAGGGCTTTAATGCGCTTTCTGCAAGTGACTGGGCCCTGACAGTGTGTACCCGCCTGGGAGGGAACGCAGGTGGCTCTGCCACTGTGGCAAAGGGCACAGGGAGTGTGGCCGACCTCACTGAGGCACTCAGGTGTGCTGAAGAGTATGCACAGGACAAGACCCAAAACATACGCTGAGTACAAACGTCCAGGGATCACAAGCCCACATTTATCATAGGGTGTAGGCAAAATATACCCCTGTTCAATGGAAAAGTTATTCAGCTGCCACGTGGGGGGCAGACCCGTCGCCAGACCTCAGTCTTAAGGGTGGCATATGAAATGCATGGGAGGGCAGGGCACAATTATTATTAGCCTACAGTACGTATATTTAATAATAAATTCCCTCAAGTGGGGGTGGCACAAGCATTTTTGGGGGCGGGCCCGGCCCCCTATGGCCCGCCCATAGCGACGGGTGTGGTGGGGGGTTGATATAATATACTAGCCTAAAGAATATATACTGACAAAATCTCATATCACAGCATACTACAGGTCGAAGGAACCTACCGTTTTTGGGGGGGATAATGACTGTGAGAAGGTCAGTTCGGGTGACTTTTAAAAGGACAGCCTACTCTAAAATGAATTAAAATAATGATACTGACATCTAAAGTATAATTTCACCTGATGTAGCTATAAACAAATAGGCTGAGGGTTACCCATCTGCATTTACCCCATTGGGCTAATCATTAGCTAGATCATAAACATTATCCTGTTGCTAGTTAGCAACATACTGATGACTTGAATGTCCGAAACGTTCCACTGGCACTCAGCCAAGGATCATGTACTGTGAATATAATGTAGGCCTACCTATCTGTTACACCTGACCCATGGTACATTTAGCCCTGGTCTCCCCTATGCATTCAACACCATTGGCGAGCGCTAACGCACATAAACCATGCCACTGCTAAAAACTCTGGTTTTAAAATGGTGCACTAAGTGGAGTAACACTAGGAAGCTCTGTGATCCTCCTCTTTTAACAGTGGCCATCAAAAATGATGTCAAAGGTGTGTTTTCCAGTGACTGCATTAAGAATGTTGTAGGCTACAATGACTTGGCATGCATGTTTTTCTCCACTGGCAATTTGAAAGCGCTTTGAGAGGGGTTTTCTTTTCTCGCATAGAATGTGACGAGATGACCAATTGTATATGTACACTATTCTACTATGGGGTTGTCTAATTTTGCTTTTGCTTTACTTGTGTTGTTGGCTGAGGAAAATTACATGTGGACAACAATTTTTGATTAGATAATTCAACATTCGTATAACCAAAGGTTCCCGGGTCTCAGCTCTGCCTGGCTCTCATTTGGATCATAGGTGCCGGGCCTCAGACCCAGCGGGATCCGGACCAATTTAACCCCTGCTCTTATTTATTATGGATGCAAGTGTCTGACATTTCTGGCAGGACCCAGTATGTACATGTGTATGATAAGCATTATGAATAAGTAGTCAAGACAGTGTTTGGAGATTTGTATTGTGCCTCTGTCCTAAGATTGTGGAGAATGAGGAAAGTCCAGTTTGTCCTGCGATGTACTGACTGCCAGCCTTGTCAATTTTTACTACGTATGAGTGTAAGCATTATGCATATTCCAGTTGTCTACTTTCTTTGTTTTAGAAGGAATAAAGACATTGGAGGTAATTTATTATTGTACAATTTTCACTAATTATTCACTTGATAACCTTGAGTAACTCAAAGCTCACATTTTTACAATAGATATAATTGTTTATTTAAATCGTTAAGGCATAATGGCAGTATTATTGAATCCTAAATTGTTGTATGACAGTTACGCTTTTTTGGTCATTTTCTCGTGCTGTAAAATTAAAGCCGAATTAGAAACCCATCTCAAACTCCACATTCATTGAATTCATATACTAAACTCAGCAAAAAACGAAACGTCCTCTCACTGTCAACACATTGGTAGGTTGCTGGAGTGGATGTTCAGGTGATAGCTTGTAGTCATGGTAGGTCTCCAGTAGCTGATCTTGGTTTGTCACTTGACAGGAGTCATCTCTGAGGTTGGTTCTTGGCAACAGTTGATCCACGTCTCTCCTCCAGATGATGTTTTCCGGTGTGTTAACTGTGTAGGACACAGGCCCTGTTTGTGCAACCACTGTGGCTGGTATCCACTTTGGACCTTTGCAGTAGTTTCGAGCAAGAACTCTCTCTCCAGCTATGAAGCTTCTGTCTTTTACTTTGCTCCGTCTCCACCTGTGCTCTCTGTTGCGTCTGTACAACCTGTCTCGTCTTTGGAGGTCTCAGGAGGTCAAGTCGCGTGCGAAGCTGTCTTTTCATCATGGCTGACGCGGGTGCCACTTTGGTTGTAGCGTGGGGAGTGTTTCTGTAGGTTAACAGGAAGGTGTTTAGACGCCTATTGAGGGAGCCATTCCATTGTGATGATTTTAAAGCTTGCTTCATCGTTTGGACAAACCTTTCAGCGAGGCCGTTCGTTGCAGGGTGATACGGCGCTTACTTGATGTGCTGAATTCCATTTGCTTCCATGAATGACCGGAACTCTTAGACACCAGTTGGGGGCCATTATCACTAACGAGTTGCGTTGGCAAGCCGAAGCGACTGAAAATTGACCGTAGCTCTTCGATGGTTCTCTCCGCTGAGGTGCTCTTCATCACTGTGACCTCAGGCCATTTGCTGTGTGTGTCAACTACGACTAAGAACATACGATCCTCCAGTGGGCCTGCATAGTCTACGTGGACTCGCTGCCAAGGCTCCCCTGGGAAGTCCCATGGGGGTAGTGGCGCTACCTGAGGCATGTTCCTCATCTTTTGACATGCAGAACATGACTTGACCTTGTCTTCGATAGCTGCATCCAGACCTGGCCACCAAAAGTAGCTGCGTGCAATCTCCTTCATTCGCACCATGCCACAGCGCCCTGAATAGAGTTCTTCAAGCACCTGCCTTCTCAGTGGCGGCAGTATAATGACTCGAAAACCCCATAGCAAGCATCCAAACTGAACTGTGAGCTCGTTTCTTCTCACTAGGTAAGGTTGTAGGCTGTCCGACATCTCTCCTTCTTTTCCACGGGTGACAATGTCCACGACCTCAGACATCACTGGATCAGTGTGGGTGAACTTTTTCACTTGGACAGATGTAACTGGGGCGTTCGTCACTTCCTTGAAGTAGAAGATTTCAGCCTTGGAGTGCTCAGTGTGTGCGACAGGTAAGGGAAGCCTTGAGAGGCCATCTGCATTGCAGTGCTGCTCAGACCTTCTGTACTTGATATCGTACTAGTGAGCAGATAACAATAACGCCCATCGCTGCATGCGGCTGGCTGCAAGCGACGGAATGCCGGTGTGGGGACCAAAGATGGAGGTGAGGGGTCTATGGTCCGCCAGCAGTGTGAATAGTCGGCCAAACAGAAACGGTGAGTGCGTCACGTTCAATCTGTGCATAATTGCTCTCGGCTTTACTTAAGGTCCGTGATGCGAAAGCAATTGGCCTTTTTCACCTGATGGCATGATGTGTGAGACAACCGCACCAACGCCATAAGGCGATGCATCACATGCCAACTGTAATGGCAAGTTGGGGTTGAAGTGGGTTAGGGCCTCTGACTGAGCTAAGGCTGTTTCTTGAAGGCCTCCTCACATCCGTCTGTCCACTTCCACTGTCTGGTTTTGTTCAAAAGCTCATGCAGTGGCTTTAACATGTTAGCTAGGTTTGGCACAAACTTTGCGTAGGATGTCAGTAGTCCTAAGAATGATCTCAGCTGACTCACGTTCTGTGGGGATGGAGCTTCTGCAACGGCCTTCACCTTCGATGGCGCCTTGTGGAGCCCCGAGCTGTCGATGACGTGGCCTAGGTACTCAACAGAGGGCCGGAAAAACTTGCATTTGTCCTTCCGGACCCTCAGACCGTACTCCTCCAATCTCTGTAGTGTAGCGTTCAGGTTTCTCAGGTGCTCCTGCTCGTCTTTGCCGGTGATGAGTAGATCATGGAGATAACATTGGACCCCAGTGAGCCCGCTTAGTATCTGGTCCATAGCTCTCTGAAACAAGGCCGGAGCTGAGGTGATTCCAAAAGGAAGCCTCCGGTACCTGTACAGTCCTTTGTGAGTCACTATGGTCAACAGTTATTGTGACTCTTGGTCCACATACATCTGTAGATAGGCCTGACATCAGTCTATCTTACTGCATTTTTGTCCTCCAGCTAAACCAGAAAAGAGGTCGTCAATGAGGGGTAGTGGATATTTTTCAGCAGTCAAGACTGGGTTAATGGTGACTTTGAAATCACCACAGAGTCTGAGTGATCCATCTTTTTTTATGACTGGAACAACGGGTGTAGCCCATTCACTAACATTCACTGGATCCAATACTCCACTCTCGACTAGTCTGTTTAGCTCAATTTCAACTTTTGGTTTTATGGCGTATGGGACAGGTCTAGCTTTGAAGCATTTTGGCTTGCTGTCTGGTTTCACGGTCAGTTTAACTGTTATGTCCTTCACACTGCCAAGTTCTCCTTTGAACACATCTGCGTGTTTCCTCAATATCTCTTGTAGGTTTGTGTCCTCTTTTGCAACCATGTGAATTTCCTGCCAGTTTAGTTTGATCTTTTCCAGCCATGTGCGTCCTAGCAGTGCTGGATGGTTGCCTTTCACAATGTAGAGTGGTAGCTTTACCTTCTGTTTGTTGAGCTCCACTGTAACAATCACGCTTCCTCTCACTGGAACAATCTCACCGGTGTATGTTTTCAGCGTCATCTTTGTGGGCTGTAGTGTGAGGTGATGTAGTTTCTCCTTGTATACAGCCTCAGACAGCAAAGATATGGCTGCTCCAGTGTCCACTTGCATCCGTACTGCGTTTCCATCCAGTAGCGGTGTCACCCAGTACCCATATCCATTGTCTGAAATTGACATAACATGCAAAGATTCTTCCCCTTCAGACAGGGTATCACTTTGTTCATCCTCTGTGTGCTCCATTTTATGCACTTTCTTTTTGTACTTCCTGAAGTCGCTTTTCCTTTGTTCAGTACTTTTGTTTGATTTCTGCAGTCTAAGTCTTTGCACCAACACTCCTCTGCTTGGTGACCTGGTTTCCCACAGCGATAGCATGGCTTCCCACCTCCTGCCTTGTTTTTGAACTCCATAGACACCTTATGCACTTTGGTCGATGCACTTAGCTGTTGTGCGTCTTT